CATTCCATTCTATCTTCCATTCCATTCCATATTCCATTCCATTCCATTCTATCTTCTATTCCATTCCTATATTCCATTCCATTCCATCCCATTCTATCTTCCATTCCTTCATTCCATTCTATCGTCCATTCCATTCCACTCCTATATTCCATTCCATTCCTATCTTCCATTCCATTCCCTTCTATCTTCCATTCCATTCTATTTTATTGTATGTTCCATTCCATTCCATATTCCATTCCATTCCATTCTATCTTCTATTCCATTACTATATTCCATTCCATTCTTTCTTCCATTCCTATATTCCATTCCATTCCATCCCATTCTATCTTCCATTCCTTCATTCCATTCTATCTTCCATTCCATTCCACTCCTATATTCCATTCCATTCCTATCTTCCATTCCATTCCCTTCTATCTTCCATTCCATTCTATTTTATTGTATGTTCCATTCCATTCCATATTCCATTCCATTCCATTCTATCTTCTATTCCATTCCTATATTCCATTCCATTCTTTCTTCCATTCCATTCCTATATTCCATTCCATTCCATTCTATCTTCCATTCCATTCCTATCTTCCATTCCATTCCATTCTATTCTATTGTATGTTCCATTCCATTCCGTTCCATTGGCATTCCATTCCAATGGTGAAGTCACCCATATTATTTTTAAATTCCCTGAAGGTTGAAATTCTCTGCATATGATCAAGACCCATTGTTCCTTAATGTAGATTGTTCGGGCTTGTTTCTTTTCCACACAGATCTCTCAGTATCCTGTCATTATATCTCTGGAGAACCACTGCAGCCTCAACCAGCAAGAGATTATGGCACGCCACCTCCACTCCATTTTGGAGGACACATTGCTGGTGGTGCCAATTGATTCCAAAGCAACCAGCCTGCCTTCCCCAGAGGTGAGCTTGGTGTGAACTTGGTGGGCTCGTATTCACAGAGAAATAGAATCAAGATCACGTAAAGTATTAACACCACTTTATAAGGCCTTGGATAAGGCCACACTTAGAATATTGCATTCAGTTTTGGTTGTCAAGATGTAAAAAGATGCCAAGGCCTAGAAAGAGTGCAGAGAAGAACAACAAGGGTTATTAGGGCAGGGGTCCCCAGCCCCTGGTTTAGGGATGAAATCCAGCAGGTTCTGACAGGTTCTGGAGAACCAGTAGCAGAAAATTTGAGTAGTTCAGCGAACCGGTAGCGGAAATTTTGAGTAGTTCAGAGAACCGGTAGCAGAAATTTTGAGCAGTCCGGAGAACCGGTTGCAGAAATTTTGAGTAGTTTGGAGAACCGATAGTGGAATTTTTGAATAGTTTGGAGAACCGGTAGCAGAAATTTTGAATAGTTCAGCAAACCAGTAGCGGAAATTTTGAGTAGTTCGGAGAACTGGCAAATACTAACTCTGGCTGGCCCCAGAGTGGTGGGAGTGGAGATTTTGCAGTATCATTCCCTTGCCACGCTCACCAAGCCATGCCCACCGAGCCACGGCCACAGAACCCGTAGTAAAAAAAAATTGAATTTCACCGGTCCATGGAATTCCAGCAAGGCAATGTGCGAAGGTAATCCTTGCTGCTGTTTAAGACACGTAATATTAAATGCATACTTTTCTTATCGAACTTTTCTGATATCATCCCTAATAAAAAAATAGTTCAGGTTTGAAATCTACCTGTTTCCCTATGATCTTTTCTTTCCGTCTGTGTATTCCCCCCCCCTTTTTTTTTGTTGCTTTAACACAAGTCCACCACATATGATGAGATGTGCCCGCTTGTTTTTAACACTGAAGCATCCCCAGAGTTATATGATCAGAATTCAGGTGTTGGCAAGTGACTCATATTTATGAACAGTCGCAATGTTCCCAGGGTGATGGGATCCCCTTTTTGCGTCCTTATGACAAGCAAAGTCAATGGGGAAGCCATATGGGGAGCCGAGATGGCGCAGTGGTTAAATGCAGCACTGCAGGCTACTTCAGCTGACTGCAGTTCNTCATATTTATGACGGTTGCAGTGTCCGGGGTCATGGGGGTCATCTTTTGTGACCTTTTGGCAAGAAGAATGAATGGGGAAGCCACTTAACAAACGGATTAGCAATTGAACAACCGCAGTGATTCGGTTAACAACTGTGGCAAGAAAGGTCGTGAGATGGGGCACGATTCACTTAACAGACTTCTCACTTAGCCAGAGAAATTCTGGGCATGAGTCAAGGACAAGCCGTATTTGGAGGACGCTTGTTGGCTGGAGCTTCTTCTTGACATCGACTGATGGATTTTGATGCTGTGTCTCCCGTAGAGCTTTGATGAAAGGTTGCCGATGTGTGGAACTCGATTGTTGGGATGGCCCGAACGCAGAGCCGGTCATCTACCACGGTTACACGTTCACATCCAAGATCCTCTTCAGCGATGCCATCAAAGCCATCAAAAATTACGCTTTCAAAGTGAGAGCTGCTGCCTTCTCTTCTAAGCCCGAGGACATGCTAAAATTTCTAAAGCTTTAAATACAAAAAGTGATTAAGTATTTAAAGTGAGAAAGTTAGTGTTCTGCTCCTTAAATTGATTTACGACCCATATGTGACCTATTACTTGCTGTTTATATGCACGCTGTGAGCTTATGCCCCAGAGACAAATTCCTTGTGTGTCCAATCAAGTTTGGCCAATAAAGAACATTCTGTTCTATTCCTGTTCCTATCCCCGTGATGGCAAACCTATGGCACACAGGCCAGAGGGGGTACGCACACCGCGCTCTCTGAGGGACACGCGCACAGTCGCCAGATGCTCTTCTGGCTTTGGTCCAAAAACCGCCCAAAATACAGGCATTACCGTGCCTGGCAACAGGGTTTCCAGTGTGAAGTGCGAAGACCAGCTGACTGGTGCGCATGCGCATTCCAGAGACCCAAAGACCAGCTGGCCGGTATGCACATGCCCACCGGCCAGCTGGAGTTCTTGGGCGGGTGCATGCATGCAAGTTCTGGTTTGGGCACAGTGCCGAAAAGGTTCGTCATCACAGCTCTTATCTCTATCCATCTCTATCTCTATTCCTATCCTATTCCTATTTCTACTAAACCAATATTTAATCTTGTCCATCTCATCCGTTCCATATTCCATTCTATCTTCCATTCCATTCTGTTTTATTGTATGTTCCATTCCATTCCATATTCCATTCCATTCCATTCTTTCTTCTATTCCATTCCTATATTTCATTCCATCCCATTCTATCTTCCATTCCTTCATTCCATTCTCTTCCATTCCATTCCACTCCTATATTCCATTCCATTCCTATCTTCCATTCCATTCCCTTCTATCTTCCATTCCATTCTGTTTTATTGTATGTTCCATTCTATTCCATATTCCATTCCATTCCATATTCCATTCCATTCCATTCTATCTTCTATTCCATTACTATATTCCATTCCATTCTTTCTTCCATTCCTATATTCCATTCCATTCCATCCCATTCTATCTTCCATTCCTTCATTCCATTCTATCTTCCATTCCATTCCACTCCTATATTCCATTCCATTCCTATCTTCCATTCCATTCCCTTCTATCTTCCATTCCATTCTATATTATTGT